TCTTCTCATCGACATTAAATAAGGATAAAATTTTATTTTTTCATTAGTTAATTTTTATATAAGTCTATACATTAATTATAACTTTATTTTTGTTCACCCCCACAATGTACTATCCACTCCTTTTTTTTTTACCCTCACGAGTGTACTATTCACTCTTAGGTGTGTGTGTGTGTGTGTGCGCGCGCGCGTGTGTTTCGTGATTTTCACTCTTTGTTTTTTTTTCTTTTTTTCTTAGATTTTTTTAAATTTTAAATTATTTCGCTTTGATTTTTTTTTTTTTTTAAGATTTTCACTCTTACTTTTTTTCTTAGTTTTTTTTTTTATAATTTTCAAATTATTTCATTTTGATCCCCGAAATTTTAAAATAAAAATTTTAATCCCTAGCCGATGCACCATATGCCTTTTCTTTTCTTTTTTTCCTTTGATTTTTTCTATCAATTTATATTCTTTTTTTATTTAATTGGGTGTGAAAATTTTTAAAAATCAGTCTTTATTATTTTTTTTCCATACAAACCGATGATTATATATATATATCAAATGTATATACTTTAAAAAAAAATCTTCTCATTACCATTAAATAAGAATAAATTTTATTTTTTCATTAATTAATTTTTGTGCAAGTCTATACATTAATTGTAACATTATGTTTTGGGTATTTTCTTATAAAAATATATATTTTAAAAGTATTTTTTATTAAATTCCTAATTAATATTTCGAGTTTAAATTATATATCACAGGTTTTTGTTTTGGAATCCCTAAATAAAGAAAAATAAATCATGTTTTTTCAAGCATAAATTTTATGAAAAACACAAAATTAAAAAATTAAATAAAAATATATACTAACTTAAAGCTTACTAATGATCAAAGCTTACTGGATTAAAGTCGAGCTTCAATCTTGTGGGTGAAAGGTTTGTAGGCGCATCCGAGACCATGTAAAATAGTATCAACAAGATCATCTTCTATTATTGGATGTTAAAAAGCCGCAAGTTGATCGGAGATGTGCTTGGCAAGCTATATATAAGTGGTGATATCCTTATTCTTGTGTTCCCGTTGATGAAGATGGGATCAAATTGACGAACATGAGCTCTGAGAGCTAGAAGCATAGTTGGTGGCCAATTTCTACCATACTCTACGGGCATACGTTACACCAACAACCCGTGATATAACTCCATCCGAAAGAGAAGTAATTATCTAGCTTAGTACTAACTCGGTTTTTAACAAACCAATCTTGATAAATTGGATTAAAAGTTCCATCAATTTGGGAAGGTGATGAAAATTTAGAACCATCGGCATGATTCATGACTCGTAGCCTTGATAAATTGGATTTTTTTAATGAATTTGAGGATAGTTGGCTTGTATGTTTGCAATCATAAGACTTGGGCGATAGCTTGGATGTTTGGAATGGGCAGAGAGAAATAAAAATCAAAAGAGAGGAGTGGCTCACACGTTGGTCGTTAAGTCTATTAAAGCTCTTATACTATAAAGAAACTAAGAATTGATTGTAAGACTATCACATATACTTTGTATTGCAAGTACACTCTTTAAATAGAGTTTCGGATATAGAGTTACAAGCATAGATCGATTATAAAAAGATTGAATTTCAGTTATAGTAAGTTACTCGAAATAGTTACTAAAATATATACATTATCTAACTCTTATCCTAATATATAAAATAGTAAATTTAGCAAATTCTTATCCTTATCACAAAACTCATCGAAATTTCCATCATGACCAGGGAAAAAATTAGCCAAGCACGAGGTACGAAAGCTTGCAGTAAATATTACTATATATCTAAAAGATGTGGGAGGCTTGAATAGTGAGTTTCACTCGTTCACTCTCTCACAAATCACTATTCACCCACTTTTTTTTTTGTAATTTCTAAATTATTTCATTTTAGTCCTTAAAATTCTAAAATAAAAATTTTAATCCCCTAGCTAATGCACTACGCAAGTTTTTTTTTCGATTTTTTCCTTTGAATTTTTTCATCAATTTATATTCTTCTTTTTTTAATTAACTAGGTGTTAAAATTTTGAAAAATCAATCGTTATTTTTTTCACATAAACCGATGATCATATAATATATACAATATATTTTTAGATTTTAGAATAAATATATAATATTCTTATTGTTTAAAATTAATTTTTTTCAATTTATTATAAAAATTCACATCAAGCTAACTTGTATTCTTATTTTTATATTAAAATTAACTATACATCTTCCAACATAATACAAATTATTTACCATGAATGTTTTTTTAACATTATAGAACCAATTTATTTAAAATAAAATAATTAAAATAATTTTTCAAAGGAGCCAACTAATTATTCAAATATATTTTTTTATGCTACTTTTATTGATTATTTTGTAAATAAATATATATAGATCAAATGCATATACTTGAAAAAAAAATCTTCTCACCAATATTAAATATGAATAAAAATTTATTTTTTTATTGGTTAATTTTTATGCAAGTCTATACAATAATTGTAACGTTATTTTTTGGATATAGTCTTATAAAAAAATATAATTTTTAAAATATTTTTTTAATTCTTAATTAATATTTCGAGGTTTAAATTATTATAAGTTTTTATTTAAGAATCCATGAATAAAGAAGAATAAATCATGTTTTGTAAGAAGAAATTTTATGAAAAACACACAAAAAAATAGTTATAATGAAATAAAAAATTAATGAAAAAATTATGAAATTTTGAGATGATTTTGTTCTATCTACTTGTATTGTTGCACGTATAATTTCAAAAATTAATATTCTCATCAGGATTAAATAAGAATTTTTTTCATTTGTTAATTTTTGTAAAAATCTGTCGATTAATTATAAATTTATTTTTTTGAATACAATATTATGAAAATTATATTTTTAATTTTTTTAATTCTTGATTAATATTTTAGTCAAAATTATTACAATTCTTTATTTTAAAATCAATCCATAAAGAAGAATGATTTATGTTTTTTTAAGTAGAAAATTTATAAAACAACATTAGAAAAAATTAATTAAATAAAAAATATAATAAAAAAATTAAATAATTTTATTATACTAGATCCGCAACATAATACGGGTAACCAACTAGTAGACTCCTAAAACAAAAACACTCACATCCAAATCCTACGTACACGGATTCGAATGTGGACCAATCATACCAATCCTCACAGATGTCAACTATAAAATATTTTTAATCGGGTACTTTAAAGTATCGGACATTCTTCAATTGCATCCTCAATGCATACCTATTAACCTCTTCCATCTAAATTTAATATACTATGGAAAAGAATGGTGCCATTCTGAGGATAGTTTGATGTTCCTGTTAATAAGTGGAATGGCTTAAGATAGAAGACCTAATTAAGGAATGCATGACAAATTGGGATTCAATCGAGAACATTTTGGAGACAACATTGAGAATGTATTCATAATTGGGGGATTAATATGAGGTTTTTCCTAAATAAATTGAACCAAAAGGTAGTCTAACTATTCTAGAAATTCCCTTTTTCCAGAACAATCATAGGGTAACCAATGATTAATTCAGTCATTATACCGTCAAACAATCACTCTTAATGAGTTTTTTTATTATTTTAAATTTGCCAGTTATTTCTTATTTATACTATCTCGAGCAAAATTTACACAACAAATAGTGATTGTCTAGGATTAATGATTTAAACTTCTTTTTTTAAAAAAAATTTGATTGGAATTGTTTTTGTTTTAATTTTTATTAAAATTTTGATAAAGATAACACTGGAAATCTGAGACCTCATTTCTCATGCAAAAGTATCATTAAACTATAAGTTCAGGATATTGCTTAAATTATTTTACTTGATTTCAAAACACCTACGAGCTTTTGCACAAATTTCTTCTCATATTTGTGACGAAAGAAAAATGACAGTTTTTATTTTTTCTTTATTTTTAACACCATAAATTTATAAAGACACTCCACTTATATTTGAATAGTAGTTAAAGTGAAGTGTTGTTATGAATTGATGGAATGTGATTAGCAATACTTCGAAATGGGTCATGGTCCTAATCCTCAACTCGACGTATGGTGAAGTGACGAGAGAAGCAGGTCCAGTTCTATGATCAGCCCACCAATGTCTGAGAAAAAAGCTTACGATGGAGACCAAGAAATGACAGAAGATCAGAGAATTTGGGACAGCTGTTATGATGTTGAGACGTTAGAAGATATAAATTGAATTATTATTAAGGAAAAATTCAAACAGTGCCCGCTCTTGATCCCATACAGAAGTCAGAAGTCACGAAGTCAGGATACGTTATATGATTATAATTCATTTGGTAGACCAATCTGTGGAGCCTCCAAAACTTCGCTTTCGGCTTTGTTTCAGCTAGGAAAATTATCAACATGGATCTATTGCCTCAGACAGGACAATTATTAACATGGATGAAGAGACTAGAAGTAATAGACCACCCTGTTCTGCAAAATATCTATAAGCAGAAGCATCCAGCCACAATCACAAATGATTTCTACTTGAATCAAAATAGTTGATCTTGTTGAGAGATAATTTAGAAGCTGAAACAGTACATTATCCAGCAAAAAACCCACATGGTTTAAATCTCCACCCTCAAATTATTAAAAATAAGTTCGAAGTTCAAATATGGATCCAATGGCAGGCTGCAAGCAGCTGCTGCCTACAAACTTGCAAGTTTTCGAAAATATTTACTTCGTAATGTAGTACAATTTCTTTATTCTCTTGATGCTTGCTGCTACAAAGTTGTAACTATAAAACAAAGTAAAATGGCATGCTTTCAATCTATCTCTTATCAGAGCTATTGTTTCCCGCAAATAACATTGTTAAGTACCACATAGGAAGCACATACAAGTTCTTGAGAAACGAAATTTTTTGTTGTTACTCCTACATCCTACCAACCCGAGTGCAAGAATTGGTAGGAAGCATGAGGCATATTTGGTAGCCTCAACAAATAAATTACAACACGAAAGAAAATAAATATGTGAAACAAAAATTAAAGAAAAAAATTGCTAGCCATTATACTTGCAGAGGTTTTCAAATCCCATATATTCATGACGATGAATCTTTCCGATCATGTTAACTACGCCAACACCGCCTACAAATGGAAGCAAAGAACTCCTTGAGAATTCCTAGAGTTCACAGAATTTGAAGTATAATTCCAGGCTTTAAATGACAGGAGATAGGAGAACTTACCCAGAGAAATTGCACTGACAAATATGGTGAAAGCTAGAATGAAGATGATAAGAGATGCCCTTCCAAACATAATGATCAACCTTCTGACAATATGCTGGCCTACGAAGGCAGCAAATGTAGCAACAGCTACAAAGTAAACAGCTGCCAGAAAATTTGAAATATTCAAGTCAATTGGAAGTTAAGAAAATAACCATATCTTTTGCTTTACAGGCTGTCTTAAGATTGTTAGGAATATAGTATAAAAGAAAAGTTGTATGGATGTTGTGGGCACTTACCATAAGGAACAGGAAAACGTTTCAGAAGGTAGTATTCTACAACAGACATGGATGACGAGAAAGTCATTGCAAAGGTGGCAGTTGCACTAGAGACCTGTATGGAAGTATCGCAATGACACGATTAATTTGCCATTCATATGGCTTTCTGGTCTGTCAAAAAGTTTCTTCCAAACATATGTACATCATCATATACATGCTTTTTGTTTTTTCATTTTCTTATTTTACACATTAACAAAAACATCTGAAAGGGATAGAAAAAATGAAATGTAATTACAATTCAATACCTCACAAATCAATATTCATTGGGTGGTAATTTTGGTAATTTTACAGTGGCATTTTTGTTATTTCCTAGCTATTTTTGAACACTCATATGCAAATTTTACATTGTATTTTATTTTGGTCCTTGATGTTTCTAAAAGATATTTTTGATCCCTTGTTTTTACATATACTTTTGGAAACCTCATGCTTTCACTTTATTCTATTTTGGTCCTTTATTTTTCCAAAAGATATTTTTAGCCCCTCATGTTTTCAGATTTTAAAATTAAAAAATATATATCGGATTATATTATTTATATTGTTTAAAGCTGATCTCTTTAATTTGTTATTTAATATACTTTAATTGATCGAAAACATAATCTTTACTATCAAACTGAAATAAATATATTTAATTTGACCTATCGCATAGCGTGGGAAGCCGACTAGTTATACAATACAACACTAGTACGTCTAATATTTTAGTCTAGTCATAATTCACAAAATGTTCAAGGAAACTAATGTCAGGAAAAACTATAAATCATTTGAAAATATCTTGCATGTTATTCATGACTTTACAATGAAAACCATTGCTTCTCCAAAATCTGAACATATTTTCTAATTTCTTCTCGGGGACAAGCTAGGAAATATATTCATTGAGAAAGGAGGGGTGTTTAACTAGATTATTCGTTTTGAAGGGTTGAGTAGCAAAGATCAAGACTCAAGAGCATGGAAGGGCACACAATGCATTGTAAGCTCCTGTCTGTTGATCTGTTTTGCAAAGTTAATTCAGAAGCCATGAATATGCCCTCTAGCCATTTGTAAATCTACTTTCTAAAATCAGTTTGTTACCTTGTACTGGTTATGCTATTCACAGGTTACTTGACTAACTTCAGGGCAAGCTGGATAGGTGAATTCCATGCTAAGGGAACATCAATTATCATGCAAACTTAGCCAAGTTCCCAAAGTCCGGCCACTTTGATTAACAACAAGGACTTAATCATCAGGTTCAGAATCATGGTAATTCATTTTTTGTTCTTTCCAACCATCAAATAAAACAGAACTAGCTAACCTGAGGAGGTACTCCGAGCTCCAAAAATAGTGGACCCATGATAAATCCTCCACCTAATCCCAGCAGCCCACCAACTATTCCAGCTAGTACACCAAATAGACAATAGGTCACAAGCTGAAGGACAGTAAAATTTGTGCCTTCATTTCCCTTGGATGCAATTATTCTGTTTCCCCTGTACAGGCTAACTGCTTCATACAGTGACACCCCAACAGAAACTGGGATCTGGAAAACACAAGGGATGATTTAAACAAAATCTCAAAGAATTGTTTTACTAAAGAGCAGGACAGATTCCAATCCTGCTGTGATATTAATTCCCAACCGTGCAAGATCATTCCTACTTTCACATACAGACACAAACACGAATGCACCAAAAAAAGAAAGGATAGAGACCACTACGGTGATAATAGTACCTGTAACAAGTTCAGCACCCAATATGCTATCGAACAGGTAGATGTACCCTCCTGTTACCAAAACATCAGGACTTCTCATCATTTAGTCATTGATTTAATATGAGCTAGGGAAAAAACCATAGAACATAATCATTATGACGAAGTGCAACAAAACCTTTGCAAGCTGCAGCACGAGGAATGCAACCCAAACAAAAACAAGAAGTCCAAGTTCCTTCCAGTAAACATTCTCAAGAATAGTGACCTAAAGTAATGAATTGCATTAGTTTTGAGAACTCTTTGGTGCTGATCTCAGTTAACAAATGTACTCACCACTTGTTCCTTGGAGTCCTTTAGAGGGTCGTTGCTTGGGCCACCAGGAAGGGGCTTGTATTCCACTTCCCTGGCACTGGTACCTGTTACAATGGAAAATGTATACCGAGCCCCAAAGAAAGATATTAACAAACAAGGATCACTAGCCAGACTTCAAGAAAATAAGGAAACCGTAAGTCAACTCACCATTTGACTCCAAACGCTTTGCTGCCTCCTATAATGGGAGAAAAAGGTGCCATTCAAATGGTTAGACTTAAATTTACATGTCTCTAACACATATAACTATGTGGAACTCTCTAGTCATACAGCATTCCTTTTGTTTTGAAGTGCATGAAAGCTCAAATATATCCTCATGGTGCAGTTACCATAGCAGTTTGAGAACAAGCCACATATAAATTGTTTTTGAAATTCATACTTGAGAACCTTGGTAATAATATGCAGGCAATGAAATGACTTCAGTTTGAAATGCAGTTGGTGCATGCCCAAACCTTGTGCATAAATCAAGAACAGGTTGATGAGATTACCCGTTTCATTATTGTTTCCTTTTTCCATGTTTCAACACCCTTGATGAATGCCTTTGTTGAGGTGCCTACAAACCATTACAATTAGCAAAAAGAATTAGAAGAGAGAAACACGAGTAAAAGCAAGTGAAATTCAACTAACATTTACCTAAGAAAAGAACGATGAGCAGTATTGTGACCATCCAGTCTGCAAAAATAACATTGAAAGCAACACCTAAACTAATTCCAAGCATAAGCATTGGTTGGATGAGCAGAGCCAAATCATAGTCAATAACGGGCATGTCAAGTGTCGGATGCCTCAGCTTAAGATTATAGTAAACAGTTGAGGCTGCTGCACCCATAATCATACCTGCCAAAATTATATACACCAAAATTCATTGCATTGTGAGTAACATATGAAATTGCAATTTATTTTCAGAAAAACAAGCCATTTCACATTTTCTGTAAGCCATCTTACTGTTCACCCAAGCACAGTACATATTGTTAACAGTTAACTAGTCAAACTAATAAATACAGTAGATGGATTAATTACCCATGATTAGTTAGCCATACTTCACTATGTGATCTGAATCAACAAAAAATGTCGTTTGTAAATGCTGAAAATCCCCACTACAGTTCAGAAAAGCCCATCCCTCCTAAGCATACACAGGACACATAAACAAATAAAATTTCAGCAGTTACAGATCCTTTCAAGAAAGTCATAGGGACTGCATATTCCCGACTGTGCTTCCAAGTTCCAAGCTCTAATTCCAACATTTTTAAGTTTGACAAAAAAATGTCATGACAAGAAGAGCTAGTGAAAGGGGCCAGTCATGGTAGTAAATTTGTGGAGAAATATTTATACTCGAAAGTTTCAATGATTAAAAAGTAGATTCAATAATTTTGTTACTTTCCTCATATTTTTAATCAAATGAATCAAAAAGTTCTTACTTTTCCAATATTTTCTTACATTTAGAAATAGCTGTTGCAGATTTAGGATCAAACCCAATAATCAGGGTAAGCATGGGAACAAAAATGCCACCACCACCAACACCGCCTACACTCCCAAAAGCAGCTCCAAAGAATCCAATAATTGAACCCAAAACAATTTGCCAACCAAATTTCATTTCCTGCCCACAAAAAGCATTCATATCAAGTTCACATATATTCTTAATCAATAATTAAACCAAACAACATTAATTAAACCAAAAACCATACAAGTCAATCACCTTTTGACATCCACAAAATGAACACATCATCCATAAAAAATTGCACCTTTTCTACATATCTACTACCAACCAATTGAAATAACCAAATACATAGAAAGCCACCCATCTTTTCTTTTCTTGTTATTTTAATGAACACTAAAGATTCTTAAAAAAAAAAAAATAAATACTTTAATAAGTGAAGGAAATGGTATCAGAAATTATACCGGCCAAACATGTTGATAACCTTTTTGATCAGGCTGCCATAAAAAATTCACAGCTTTGAGAACATAACTTGACAGAAAATCTCTTGTTTCATTCATTCTTGTAGATGTTGCTTCCCGTTTCAAGCCTCTCTCAGCTGAAACAAACACAAAAGCTAACAAAAAGTTGAACAAAACCATTAACACCGATCTCAAACCCCTCCATTTCCCTCCAAATTCTGCCATTTATCAGATCCAGAATCCACTCTCTCACAAAAGTTTTTGTCTTTCCTCTCCTCTTCCTCTCTCTCTCTCTCTCAAAGTGTGGTCTTTTAAGTGTATTGGCCTGCTAACACTCAACACCTCACCACTAAAAGAACAAAAATGCTCTTTTATTACAAAGAACCAAGACTAATGCATGCAACCAATTGGTTTGTCCGGAAATCAAGGAGCAACAGACAAGAATGGAAAGGAAAGGAAAGGAAAGAAAAAGGAGATGTTTGTGACTCTTGAGCTATGTTCCTACGAGTAAGAAGCGGATCGATGCTTAAGAACAGGTTGTGACCAAGAAAGTTTTGAGGGAAAACTAAAAGAGCATGTGAGAGATTGTGTATGGTTTCTTTGGCACTTCGAATACGATAGGAAGATGGAATTTATGAGCATAAGTAGTGAATATTCACAAATGGTGATAGATATGATCCCGTCATCAATATCGAATCTCTCCCTCTCTAATTATTAAGTGGGAGCAATGGTTTGGAATGCCCCCTCTTTTCTTCCTAGTTTTACTCCTTTTAAAATGATGAATCACAAATTTATGTATTTATGTCTTTTTATCTTTTAACATTTTATCCATCGCGGTTTTAAACATGTTTGGTCATATGTATATATATATGCCATCAACGACACACCAAACTACGTAATAGTAATAATTTGCACGATTAGGTTTATTGTACCTATTTTTTTATTCAATATTTTAAGAGGTTGGCACGTTGGTTAAGAGGATTCTTTTTATTTTATTTATTTTTTGGATTAAAGAAGAAATTTATTAATTTTTTTCTAATACATCATATCGATGTGAAAGATATGTTTTTAATTTCGTCAGACAAAATATTTAATTTTTATTAAGATTCAATAATATTCTTATTGTCAAATTAAAAAATAATTATTCATTAAATGATCAAAGATTTGAGATATATATATATATATATATATAACGAAAATTATGGAAAAGTGGGTTTGAGATTTAAGCAGGTCTAAGCATATTGAGGTGTTTTTTTTTTTAATTAAGTTATAAATTGATTAAGATTAAGTCTATTCCTAAAGCATATTTCTAATATGAGTTTGATGCATTTAAAAAAAAATGAAATTTAATAAATTTTTTGAATATTAACTTCAAAATTTACATATAAAAAAAAAAAAAAAAAAAAAAAGAGGGGGGGGGGGGGGATACACTGTTTTAACTGACAAAAGCTTTCGCAAGGCTGTCTAATCATATTGATGATTTAGATAAGAGGGTGAGAACAATCACATCCGTTAATTTCTAATTATAATACAAGTCAACAGAAAGCATTTGTAAATTATAAGTAGCGAACACAGACGCGGGGACAGGCGTGGGGTAGGGTGGGACCCAACAGAAATGACACAAATAAATGTCTCTGTTTGGTTGCTATTTAATGGAGACCACTTGCGCAAAAGTAAAATCTACGGTAAAAATAAAGTATATTTTTCTAAGTGTCATTTTCTATATATTTATTGCTATTTTATCTACTTTACTCTTATTGGTGACCCTTCCAACACGTTTCCTTATTTTAGTTTACAGTGCTACAAAACTTGCACGAAATTTATTTAAATATTACTTTTTTAATTCACTAGAATTTGAATATTTTTTATTTTACTTCTATTTTAAGTATTCAGGTAAATTTAATAATTTATTTTGAATACTACTTTCAAGTTTTGAATCTAAAAAATTGAGCAAATTTTTCTAACCAACAGACCAAATCATTGAGGTTACTAAAACTTAGAATATTAAATCGACTAAAGTGGTCGAATTTTTTTTTTGAATTTTAACTTATTTAAAATTAAATATTTAAATTTTAAATTTGATTTTTGAAATTCTTAAATTTTTATTTTTTAAGATTTAATCCATACAATAATTTTTAGTTACCACCACCATTCCTTCTAAACAATTCAATTCTTGGTATATTGAACTAAATTTTTGCACACATATTAGAAAAAATTCAATTTATTTTTGAAAAAATTCCAATTTTTTAAAAATAAAAAATTATACTTGTTTATTTTTTGAACATTGAAAACATAAAAAAATCAAAAATAACTTGTAATGATCCTAAAGTTTTTTAGAAGTTTCATATTGATCTCACTAAATTATTTTCATTTCAAGACTATTTATATGATTGTCATTTTTGGAGATCTCGTATCAATCTTACTAAATAATTTTTATTATAAAATTATTTATGTGGTTGTTATTTTTTGAGACAAATAACATAAAACTGAATAATGGATTAAATTTAAAAAAAAATTAAAAATTTAAAAAACAAATTTGAAGTTTAAAAACTCAATCTCAAAGGATTTAAAATTCAAAGAGGTTCAACTTTTTTAACCTATTGAATCTAATAGTTGGTTACATGACATATGCATACAATAGATATTTCTCTTTAAATAAACAGATGGTGTTAAATCCATTGTTCAATATTTTCTTTCTCTCTCCATTTTTTTCGATGTACAAATTGAATTTTGAGTTTTAAAATTCAATAAATTGAATGGGTATGCTTAGAAAAGAAAAATCGTTGTCCGAAAATTGCTAAAAAAAATTGATTAAATTGTCACTTTTATTTTCACCAATAATTTTTTTTTTTTTTTTTGCAAATAATAATTTTTTCGAGTGAAAGTGTTGTTCATAAAAAAATGAATAAAATATAAAGATTTGGCAAACACAATAAGATTTTATGCATTACTTTTATGTTGTATAGACTTTTCCTAAAGCATATTACACTACCTCTTTTTTCTAGAAAACTTTATATTACTTCAAAAATAATTATATGTAAAAAAATAAATAATAAGTATAAGAAAAAGGAAGAGAAATTGAAGGAAAAAAAAATATTTTAACGCATTTTACAGTCATCTCGACGGATATCAATACAATTTTTTCTCTCTCTCTCTCTTTTTAAATAAATACTGATAGAAGTAAAGCTAATTTTTTTCCACGTGTTTTATCATAGTTAAAAAATTTTGTATATTAAAAAATGCAAAACAATCTATTGATTTAAACGGATGGACAGTTAGAAGAAAAAGATCCAACATCACTACTCTACCGTTTGTAGATCGGGATAATTGTTGAAGGAGTTCCTCTATTTTTTTTTTTCCTGCTTTTATAATTTTTTTTTGTTTTAAATTCGCCTCTTTCTATATTTAGTTTTTATTTTATTCTCATCATTTTATTAATTTTTTGGATTAATGGTATTAAATTACATCCTTAATCCATCAGAATTGCAGCATGCATGTGTCAACTTGTTTTTTTTTTTTTAATCCCGCCTCTCTACTTTCTTTTTTAAAAATTTAAATAAATAAAATTTAGAAAATGAAAAAAAAGAAGAGATTTATCCAGTCATTCTCTTTAAAACCTAAAATAGGTAGATAAAAATATTTTTTTACCCAAAAAATTTCTTATATTTTGTTGCAAAATTTGTTAATTTGACTCAAAAGTAGAAAAATAAATTTTTTCATGTCATTTTCATTGGATCCCCAACTAAGATGGGAAAAAACACAAAATTTACAACAAATTTTATGTTATCCAAAAATACTGAACAAAATTTATATTCTCGCTTTTGAATAAAATTAAGAAATTTGTAAATTTAAAATAAGTAAATTATAATATACTCTTTTGAGATATTATAAAATCATGAATACAATTCAAAAGTTTAAAATTTTAACCAGAACTCTCTTCACATATTTTTAAAAAATATTATAAATATTTTATTTTATACTCACAATTTGATTATTATTTTAGAGATAAATATAAACCAATAAAAGATATTTTTGATAAAAAAAATATTTCTATCTTACAATTGTTTTCAGTTTTATAGAGAATGATCCAAAATATCTTCATCTTTTTTATTATTTTTCAAAATTTATTTTTTTAGATTTTGTTAGAAATCTTAGGAATGTTAGATAATAAGTTAAGTGTACTATGAAGGAAATTTGAAAGCATTTTCAAGTGGGATTTTATCCCACATTGGAAAGGAATGGAAAGAAGAGACACTTATAAAGTGAGCCTCTATCAAAACTTTCAAATATTTGATTGAATGAATTGGAGGGAAAACTAGGCTAATTGGTTGGAATATATATATATATATAATCAAAGACTAGCGCCTGTGATTAAGAAATTTATTTTTATTTTTTAATATAATTAAATTCATAATTATTTAATTAATTATGTTTTTAATTTTCTCATTAGCGACTAGTTAGTTAATAACGGCTTTCAAACCTTATGTCCGTTAGAGTCCAACAATTATAAGCTGTTGTATTATCACCGTTAGAATCAACGAGTTAAGTTTGTTATGAAAGGGTATCGGTAGTCTATAAATAGGAGACTACCGCACATGATGAAATTTAATTTACATTATCTCGCAATCTTCCTCTCCTCTCAACAAAAATTCTTTTCCTTCTAAAACTCTATAACTTTGAGAGATATTCTCTTGAAGGAATTTCGTGAGTGCTTGCCTGCAGTTCTTTGTGTGCAAAAATTGTATCTTAGAGGCGAATTGCTAAAATCCTCGCAGCATTATAGTGGGGGCAATAATCACTTTAAGGACGAGTATATAGTATTTTCTACACGTAATTAAGTACTATATATTTCTATTCGTCTTCAAGTTCATTTCAACTTTTTCCAATCAGATTTGATATTAAAAAAAATAAAGGAATGAGATTAAGATAAAAATTAACATGCGTCATGATCTTATTAGACTGACAATGTGATTTAACACTATTAGTGCAAAAAATTACAGGAATAACGAGACTAAGATAAAAACAAAAAGCAGAGAAGAACATAGGACAAAAAATAATAGAATGATATGATACTTATGGAAAACAGAATAAAAGAACACCTGCCACCATTAAAACCCTTTGTAGATCTAGCTAGCTCTTAATGGCCTTGCACCTCAATTTTTTGCTAGAGTGTCGGTGGTTGACTCTGCATTTTTCAAGAACGTGGACCATTTCTCTTGATAGGA